TGTGTGAGAGGACACACTGCACTCAGCCGCTCACGCTGGCCATGCCTGTGCCCACTGAGGGTACCCCACCGCCCCTGAGTGGTACCCCTGTTCCAGTACCAGCCTACTTCCGCCATGCAGAGCCTGGCTTCTCCCTCAAGAGACCTGGGGGCCTCAGCCGAAGTCTCCCACCCCGGCCTCCTGCCAAGGGCAGCATCCCCATCAGCCGTCTCTTCCCTCCTCGGACTCCTGGCTGGCACCAGCCCCAGCCCCGGAGGGTGTCATTCCAGGACAAGGCATCAGAGCCCCTGAAGAGCCCTGGGTATGACCCCAGCCGGCCTGAGTCCTTCTTCCAGCAGAGTTTCCAGAGACTCAGCCGCCTGGGCCATGGCTCCTATGGCGAGGTCTTCAAGGTGAGTTTAGGGGTCATGGCCCAGGCTCGCCTTGGGATCCCATCCTTCACTCCCCTGCGCAGCCTGTACACACTCTCTTTCTTTCTCTCCCTTCACAGTCCATCTCTCTTGGGCTGACAGCCCTCCCTCTGTGTTTAGATTTCTCCCAAGCCCTCCCGCAAGCCCCTCTAGGGCTGTCCCCTGGCCCCCCCCCCCCACCCCCAGCACACTGGCCTCTTTTCCAGAGCCTGGCGCAGCCTGCGTGGCCCCGGGATGACATTTCTCCATCTGGATCCAACTGTGCTGGGGTTCTTGGCAGACCCTGCCTGGCTCCTGGAGCTGGCCTAAATGCACGCCCCCACTCCTGCCCACCCCCCCACCCCGACTGGCAGGCTCAAAGCTACCCCATGCCTACCACCTTTATTTTTTTTAAATTCATTTTCCACTGACTTACATTCCCTTTAAAATCATACCTTTCCCTGGCACAGTACTATATAAAGGCAATCTTATTATACGCGCCAGCAGCCTGGCCCCTGAACCAGCTCTCCTCAGAGGAAGGCTTGTGTAGCGCAGCACACTGCCCCATTGTCCTGCGCCCTGGGCAGTCCATGGGGCAGAACGCACGGGCTCGCCCCGCCTGCATCGGTGCTGCATCTCCAGCACACCACCCTACCAATGGAGGCTTGTCAGCACCCTACCAATGGAGGCTTGTCAGCACCCTACCAATGGAGGCTTGTCAGCACCCTACCAATGGAGGCTTGTCAGTTTTGTTTCTGTACGTAGGGGTCTCCCTAAGTGCTACAACTTTCCTCTCCCCCATATGTGAAATCTTCATGCCATCTGCTGATGGCCCCTCGCCCCTGCCTGTGGGCACCACACCTCTTTTCCAGGTTCGCTCCAAGGAAGACGGCCGGCTGTATGCAGTCAAGCGCTCCATGTCACCATTCCGGGGCCCCAAGGACCGGGCCCGGAAGCTGGCTGAGGTAGGTGGCCACGAGAAGGTGGGCAAGCACCCACGCTGTGTGCGACTGGAGCAGGCCTGGGAAGAGGGCGGCATCCTGTACCTTCAGACAGAGCTGTGTGGGCCCAGCCTGCAGCAACATTGCGAAGCCTGGGGTGCCAGCCTGCCCGAGGCCCAGGTCTGGGGCTACCTGCGGGACACTCTGCTGGCTCTGGCCCACCTGCATGGCCAGGGCTTGGTCCACCTTGATGTCAAGCCTGCCAACATCTTCCTGGGGCGCCGGGGTCGCTGCAAGCTGGGTGACTTTGGGCTGCTGGTGGAGCTGGGTACCACCGGAGCAGTCGAGGCCCAGGAGGGAGACCCCCGCTACATGGCTCCAGAGCTGCTACAGGGCTCATACGGAACAGCCGCAGATGTGTTCAGGTGAGGACTGGGGTGTGGAGGATGTTGCAGGTGGTCACCAAAGAGAGGGACTCGCCAGGAGAGAAGCCGTCCTGTCCTGGCTTTAGGTCAGACACTTGGCCTCAGGCCGCAGAGATGCTGGCTGCCTTCTAGCTCTGAGGTCCCCAGAGCAAGCTGCTCAAATGCAGTGCTGCCTTTGGAGCCCCTTTCTCTCCTCACAGCTCCATAGGAGGAGTGGTGACTGTACCCCATCCCAGGAAGGAATGACGCAGTGAAGCTAGGGCCTTGCCCCAGTCCCCAGTTGCCACCGTGGCCGGGCACAGGCCCTGGGTTCCCAGCCACTGCCCCGCCTCCACCAGTGGGACCTGTGATCACAGGAAAACTGATGATTTAGAAACCGTGGTGTCTGTCGGTGGGGTTCTGGAGGGCCTCCATTACAGCCTGTCTGCCACAGGGGTGTGTCCACACTCTACAAGGTCTCTGTGCTGCTTGGGGTTCACTGGCTCTCCGGGGGCCTCCTCAGAACCCCCACCCTCCTCACGCCATCCCCCTGGCTTATGGTAGACTCTCTCCTGGCTTTCATTGCCGCGTGGGCATCTGTCCTGAGGCTGCCTCTGCTAGTTCTGTCCCTGTCCCTGTCCTCCCAGCCTCGGTCTCACCATCCTGGAAGTGGCCTGCAACATGGAGCTGCCCCGTGGTGGGGAGGGCTGGCAGCAGCTGCGCCGGGGCTTCCTGCCCCCCGAGTTTACTGCTGGTGAGTGGGGACCAGGAGCCGGGGCCAGTGGCGGGGGAAGCCGCTGGGCTGGGACCCCTGACACAGCCCGGCCTTGTGCACAGGTCTGTCTGCTGAGCTGCGTTCCGTCCTTGTCATGATGCTGGAGCCTGATCCCCAGCTGCGGGCCACAGCCGAGGCCCTGCTGGCCCTGCCCATGCTGGGGCAGCCGAGGCCCTGGAATGTTGTGTGGTGCCTGGCTGCAGACGCACTGAGTCGTGGCTGGGCCCTGTGGCAGGTACGCTGCACCGTGATGGCTGCCCGCGTGCTTCCCACCGCCGCAGGCTCCCCTTCCCACTTACAGCATAGCCCAGGCTGGCCTCAAGCTCCTCATCCTCCAGCGTAGCCTCCCAAGTGCTCAGATTCGAGCCGCTGTGCTTGTCCTCTCCATCTCCTAGGCCCTGCTCACGCTGCTCTGCTGGCTCTGGCACAGCCTGGCTCACCCTACAAGTTGGCTGCAGCCCCCCGGGCCGCCAACCACCCCTCCCGGCTCACCATCCTGCAGCCCCCTCCTGGACAGCAGCCTCTCCAGCACCTGGGATGATGACAGCATAGGGGGGTGAGACACCGCCCCCAGGGTGGTGAATCCCTGACCAGCAGCACATGGGAGGAGGCTGGGGCCTCATGGAGACGGATGCATTGGGCCTTGCCTCCAGCCTGGCCTCTGTCACACCGTGAGCAGCGTGGCCTGGCCTGCGTGCATATGGCTGTGTACAGGACAGTAGTCATAGCGCAGCGCCACGCTGGGAAGGGCAGGGAGAGGGTCAGCAGGGGAGCAGCCACCTCCTCAGCTGAGGCTGCCACTGCCCAGGAACGTCCTTCCCTGGTGTAGACGCCTCCAGAGCCCAGTGAGCACCCGCCCCGAGAGAACTACCTGAGTCCCAGGTGCCTGGTGGCCAAGAGGCTGTAATTAAGAAACCGCAGCACAGAAAAGACACGTGCTCCTTGCACTCCTGGGAGGACTCCCTTACAGCAGCGTGTCCCTTGCTCCAGGCATCTCAGAGCAGGAAAAGCTCCATTTACCAAAAGCTCACTTGACATCAGCCTCAGAGCCTGTCTATCCTGAAGAGGGGGAGAGGCCTCTGGGAAGGGCTGGGCGGAGGGAACAAGGTGCTCAGAGGCAGTGCGGGGTCGCTGTCCCCGTGGACTTGGAGCCGTGGGAGGCCAGACCTGGTTTTGCCCCGCATCACTCACCCCTTAAGGCCTGGTTGTTTCACTCACTTCCCTGCAGGCCCTCGCTCTCCCCAGAGCCTGTCCTGTCTCGGGCTACCAGGAGCACTTCCACGCCCCAGGGCAGGTACATGTGGAGGTGAGCAGCCTGGGGACTGGGCTGGCTAGGACTGGTTTTGAATTCCAGAGTGTCATTCCTCTTTCCTCCTTACCCCAAGGGACACCCAGGACCTAAGTGACATGGACACAGAGCCTCCCCGGGGCTCCTTTCCCTCTTTTGAACCTCGGAACCTCCTCAGCCTGTTTGAGGACTCACTGGACCCAGCGTGAGCTGTCGGCCCAGCTTCAGTGCTTTTAACCATTAACCCCTTTTTCTGTCCCTCCTCCCGGAAAGCTGGGGTCCCTCTGGGCCCTCCTGTGTCTAATAAAAGTTGAATCTTGGGCGCACCCAAGCCTGCTCACATGGCCACGTAGCACTTCCGGTCCTTTTATTGATGCTGCCCAGGGTCCTGAGTCCCCGGGATGATCTAGCCTCCAGGCTGAGCCCCGCTCAGCGCAGAGTCTCAGGCCTCTGGCGAGCAGAGATGCACTGTGAGGAGCAGATTTCCTGAGTGGGCCCAGCCCTGGTGGGCAGGTCATGTCCTCAGACCGTGGCACTGAAGGTAGAAGACCAGCCTGATCCCAGGGGCCTGGGTCCAGGGCCACCCATCCCCATCTGTGCTTGCTGGATCAAGCAGCTGTCACCATGTGCCTCTTGGCCGGCTGGTACACGAAGGGTGACACCCACTGGGTCCTGGGAGAAGGGGCTGGTCCTTCACCCTCACTCCATCCAGTCTCTTGGGCCGGGAGGGGTGAGGTTTTGGCGCTGGGGGAGCTGGCATGCAGGGTGGAGATGGGAGCAGGGGCTCCCCAGGGACCCAGGAGATGTAGGCGAGGGGGGATGGGGAGATGGCTCTGGGCTGGCAGCCACAGGCAATTGGCAAAACGCAACTGTCAGGGCAAGAGAGAACCCTCGAGGCCCTCTGGCCCAAGCCTCGCAAGTTACCAAAGGTAAACTGAGGTACAGGGAGAAGTGTCCTTCCAGCTGGCACAGCAAAACAGTACCCTGGAGTGAGTCAGGAGGGGAGGCGTCAGGGTAGTTGGAATTCCAAAGCCTGGGTGGAAGAGGTAAATCCATAGGGAATAATGAACAGACCAGGGGTCCCAGCTGGGAAGTCCCTGGCTCTGGAAGCTTCCTGGGGTAAGAGGGGGGAAAGAACAGTATTGGGCAGAGCCTTGCAGACCAGCAAGAGGAAAGGTGTCCCAGGGCCACTGGGGAGGCCGTTCAGTCCGGGGGACACGCATGGCGGGCTGCCCAGAGCAGGTCAGGCACCACCCCAGCGTGCAGCTGCAGGATAGAGCCCACGCTGAGCAGGTGCATGATCTGGTGGGAGTTGCCCCAGTAGTCAAAGCGCCCGGGTCCCCAGCGCTCTGGCAGGCGGGCCACGTTCACCAGCCCTCCGAGCAGTGCCAGGGCATCCATGCGCAGGTAGCAGGGCAGGGAGCCGGGAGCCCCCGAGCCCAGCCCCACACCACGGGCCCCGAACACCAGGAGGCGGGCCCCAGCTTGCCAACCAAAGGCCCGGAGCCGGGCGCTGGTGGAGGGGGCGGTGAGGGCTCTCCAGCCGGCCACCCCAGACAGGGCAGTGTAGCCCACCAGAGCCGCCGGGCGAAGCCAGGGTCTGCAGGCCAGTGTGCAGTGGATGATGGGCAGGGCCCCTGCAGAGAGAAAGCAAAGAGCGCAGGTCAGCCAGAGCCTGCCCGCCCCTTCCCATCCAGGGCTCCCAACAGCCCTCCCCCACGCCGGGGCCCTGGCTCACCCAGGGTGTTGACCAGGCAGACCCCACACATGTCCAGGGCCAGGAGCCGGGTGTACACGGGGCTGCCCCCTTGGTGGCACATGAAGAGATGATAGAGCACGGAGGCGGCCGGGGGCGCCAGGCAGGCCACACAGTGTGTGCCCCCCAGCCAGCCGTCCTTGCCCAGCTGACTCCACGGCATGGTCATCGGCACCAGCACCAGGAAGCCCAGGAGGGCCAGCCCTGGGGAGGAGGGAGACAGTTACCCGCCGTCCATCAGCTCAGCACGGAAGACAGCGTGTCTGAAAAGCTGAAGATGGCACAGGACGAGGTGGGACGGCTCTGCAGTGGGTGGGAATCAGGGCCTCTGGCTCAGCTTTTTCCCCTCCAGGCTCGTGCTCTACCACTTGAGCCATGCCTCCACTCTGGCTTTTGCTCGTCAGTTGGAGATAAATCTCTGGGATCTGTCTTCCCTGGCTGGCTGTGAACAGGAACCCTCAGCTTCCTGAGTAGCTAGGATCACAGGTACCCAACTGCCAGACAGGGGTGGGTGCTGCCGCCATGCAGCACCCAGGGCTGGAGACTTTTCAGAAATGGCTTGCCGAGGTGGCTCAACAGTTCTGGAGAGCAGAGATGACGAGCCCCACTTTGCTGGTGAGGAAACAGGCGTGGAAGCCAAGCAAACCCAAGAGGAGCCGGGTGCCGGTGGCTCACGCCTGTCAGCCTAGCTACTCAGGAGGCTGAGATCTGAGGATCGAGGTTCAAAGCCAGCCCAGGCAGGAAAGTCCATGGAACTCCTCTCCAATAAACCACCAGAAAAATGGAAGTGGCGCTGTAGCTCAAGTGGTAGAGTGAGGGATAGCGCCAGGGCCCAGAGTTCAAGCCCCATGACCGACAAACAAACAAACAAAACACTAGGTGAGCCCAGCAAGGAAGCAAACAACAGAGTTAAGAGCCCGGACGTCTAGCTCCCGCCCCGCAAGTGGCAGCATCCTCGAAATGGCAGGACCCCAGCAGGCCTGCTCTTCGGGGTGTTCACAGACGCCTCGGGAAGGCATGACCTGCAGAGCACCTCCCCCAAGTGTCCACACAAACGGGCCTTTTTCTGTCTTCCAGGCAGGAGCAAGGCCAGAATGAGGGAGCAATCCCCCCCCCCCAGGTTCCTCTCAGGACCTCCAGTGGCGCAGCCAGCTGCGACTCTTCCTGGAGACTTGCGCCCCTCCTCTCCAGAGTTGGCATTGTCTCTCGGGGGTCACCTGGGGGCGCCAGCTGCCCGCTCTCGGAGGGGCCAGGCCTGGCAATCGCCCCTCCCTGGGGAAGGACCCTTGGCTAAGTCCAGCTGGCGCTGCCCCCCCCCTCCCAGAAGCCGGGGCAGCTCAAGGACGGGCAGGGCTGTGTCAGCAAGAGCTCTGCGGGCCGTGGAGGAGGGGCAGGGCGCTGCGGGGGGAGGACGGAGCCACCGCCAGGCGGAGCCCCAAGGCTGGGCTGCCCGGACGGGGGAGGCGGGAAGGCAGGGCGGCGGGGCGGCCGGGCCCCAGGCCCCGGGAAGGGAGGACTTCTCCCGGCCAGTTCACACCCATCTCTAGGACCGGCGTCCGGGGGTGGGAGGCGCCCAGGGCGCCGCGATCCCGAAGGGGTCGGACGCTCCCGGGGGCTCGGCGGGATGAGGGGCCCAAAGGGGCCCAGGCCCCCCTCTCCCCGCTCCCCTCTCCGGTCCCCGCCGGGAAAGCGGAAGCTGGCAGCGCGGCTCGGGACAATGGCAGCTTTGTCACGGCCGCTGCCGGTGGAGCCGGGACGGGACACCCCGGGACCCGCGCGCTGGGGCGCTCCTCGGCCTGCGGCGGGGAGGTCGCGAGCGCGGGATGCGCGGAGCGGGGCGCGGCTCACCGTGGGTGTAGATGTTGCCCAGCTCGTTGTGCAGGTAGAAGAGGCTGCGCAGGCAGCCGGAGCCGCTGCTGGCCGGCCGGTAGCCGGTCAGCACGAACTTATTGAACTGCAGGTGCGGCGGGGAGCTGGCCCAGTCCAGCAGGCGCGGCCCCGCCAGGAACGCCATGGCCTCCCGCAGCGCCGGCGGCCTGGGCGCCTCCGGATCCCCCCAGGCCCCGCTCGTCAGCGGGGTCGCGGCGCTGGGGAGCTCATGCCCGCGTGCCCGAGGGTGGCCCCGCGCCGGGGCAGCGCGCGCGCCAGCCCGGGGTCCCGGCCCGCTCCGTTCTCGCGCTGCGCACGCGCGAGCCCCACGCCCCCGCGCCGGGGAGCCGGGGAGCCGCGGACCCGCACGCCCGAGCGCAGTGCCGCCGCGTTCCGCCCGGGGCAGGCGCGGCGCGGGCTCCGGGGGACCGAGAGCTGGAGTCCGCGGCCGGTCTCCTCGCCGCAGCCCCGGGGAACGGGCGCGGCCGGACGCGGGAGCGGACGCCAGGCTCCACCCCGGCTCCTCGCCCCCGCCGCCCAGCCCGCGTTTCGCGCGCTGGATCCCTGACGTAGACGTTGCCGGAGCCAATGGGCGCCGTGCGCGGGGTGGCTCCGCCCCGGGGCCGCCCAGACTCCGCCCCCTCAGCGTAATACTTGCGGTTCCAGGCTCATTTGCAACCGGGCGGGGGTGGGACGGGGGTGGCTCCGGCTCGGGGCCCGCAGTGACCCCGCACCTCGCGCCCCACGACGCGCATCCTGGCTTCCCGCGTGAAGGCCAGGTCGTCCCCCCCTTTGTACACCCGCCCTCCGAGGCGCAGCCCCTCGCCACCCAGCCTCCCCCCCCACGCCCCGCCCCGCGCCAGCGGGGCTCTGTCCAAGGTGCTGCCGTCCCAGCCCCGTGCCGGCCAGCCCCGCCCAGCTCGGGTGCGGACCCACATTGGACCCTCGACTGGCCCCTGACACCCCAAGTTCCCCGAAGCCGTCGGGCTAGGCCCGGCTCTTCCAGCCAGGTTTCGGTGAGCTCCGGCTCTGCCCAGTTCACTCCCAGTTATCGTCCGCCCACACTAGGCGCGCCCTCGGCCCGCCCAGGACCCGCAGCAGACCGAGGGCAGGGCCGGAGGAGAAAGAGCGGGGCTGACCCGCTCGGTCCACGATCGGCCTCCACCTCCCTCTCTCCTCCCGCCCTCGTCGCCCGGGTCCTCGGCACTCCTGCGGGGAGCGGCCTTTCCACGGCGCGGACACCCGCATCGCTCCGCCCGGCGCCCCCGGGGTTCGCTCAGCTCCTTCCACGGAAGAACTTACTGAGGCCAGCACCAGGTCTCCAGGTCTCCAGGCCCTTTATTGAAAGTCTATGTTGGATCTTCACCTATGACCTCTAATTGGAGACAGTAGTCCAGGACCAACTCGGGAGGGGCTCAGTGACCTCTGAACCCAGAAGCCCACCCCTACTTCGAGGTCCATTGTTGGGGGAGGCGCTTAGGGTCCTCCTGCCCTTTGGCCTCCACCCCTTGGACCTCTAGGGTTAGGCCAGGATCCCACGACGGCACCGAAAGCTTCCCGTCCGAGGTCTCCACAGGCCGCGCTGCCTTCGGAGGAGAAGGCCGAGGTAGGCTGTGGCATCAAGTCTCAGATGTCCATCTCGGTGATGGTGGAAGGTCCGACGGACCCCGGGGTCCCGGGTCAGAGGGCGGAGATGAGCGAGCGCAAGGAGCTCTGGCTGGAGGCACTCAGGGGCCGGTAGCCCGCGGCGGGACCCTCCGCCTGGGGGTCCCCGGGGGGACAGGGCAGGGCCACCCCTCGGGGCCGGCGATACCACACAGCCCAGCTTCTCCCGGGCCCCCGGGAGGGCCCCAGGGCCAGGGGCCCCTTTCCCGGAGCCAGCAGACAGCTCCTAGAGAGGGAGCACACGTCAGCTGGGCCCAGCCCAGCCCCGTCTCCAGCCTCCTGCCTGCTCTGCCGTCAATCCCACGCCCGCCCCCTCGAGAAGCCAGGCGTCCCTTCCTAGGCGCGTTCCCTTCTAGGGCCCCGGCTCCCCACTAGGCTCCCTCCGTGTCCCGGGACACCGAGGCGTTAGGCACCCGGTGCGGGGTCCGCCCTCAGGCCCTGCCCCGGCGCCCGCACCGTCGGCGCAGCAAACGCAGCAGCGACAGGAGCAGCAGCAGCAGCACAGAGATGGCCATGACCGTCGAGGAGACCCGAGCTGCGGGCACAGGGGCGCGGTGAGGGCGGGGCCCGCAGCGGCTGCGCCCGCCTCTCGCCCCGCCCCGCGCGCCGGCCAGCCTCACCTCCCACCGCCGGCTGCGGAGCTCCGGGTCTGGGGCTGCAGCTGGCGTTGGCGCCGTCGAGGGGCTCTGCGGGGGTGTGCGCCGAGCCCTCGGGGGCGGCAGCGTCGTCCTCCGAGGCGTCCTGCAGCCCTGTGGAGAGCGGTGTGAGGGCCGGGGCGGGCGGGCGGGCGCGGGCCCGGCGCGGGCGGGCGGGCGCGGGCCCGGCGCGGGCGGGCGCGGGGCCGGGGCGGGGCTCACCGCGGTAGGCCAGCGCGAAGCCCTGCGCGTGGCCGCGCGCGTCGCTGCGGAAGGAGAGCAGCAGCGCGGCGGTGCGCAGGCGCAGCGGCCCGGCCGGAGGCGGGCGGGCGCCGTCGAAGGCGCGGAGCAGGCTGCCGGAGCCCGCGTCGCGCAGCTCCAGGCGGTCCCGCGGGTCGGCCAACTCGAAGAGACGGAAAGTGAGCTCCAGCGCGGCCCCCGCCGGGCGCAGCAGCCAGCTGCAGTTCCGATCCGGCCCGTACTCGTCCGGGAAGTCCGGGGAGTAGACGACCCCCTGAGGAGCGGTCCAGTTTCCCTGGCAGGAGCCCACGGACACTGCGGGCGGGTGGCCGTCAGCACCCCCGGGGGCAGCGGGGCTGCGCCCCCGCCGCCGGGGACAGATCCTCAGCGGAGCCCTCGGAGCCCCGGCGAGGACCCAGGTCGGCTCGGCCTCTTTCCTTAGGCCCCAGCGCCTTCCCCGGTGCTGCCCCCCGGGCTCGGCACTGGCCCCTACGGGGCCTGCCCCGCCCCTGGGATTGCCCGTAGCCCACCCCGGTGAGGGCGGGGCACGTCGGGCCCCTCCCCCAGCGCCTTCCCCGGTGCTGCCCCCCGGGCTCGGCACTGGCCCCTACGGGGCCTGCCCCGCCCCTGGGATTGCCCGTAGCCCACCCCGGTGAGGGCGGGGCACGTCGGGCCCCTCCCCCGCTCCCTCCCCCGTCCCTGCCCAGGGCTCACCTTCGTAGATGCCCAGCCGCCCATCGCCGCCGCACAGCTGGCCTGGGTGTCCGAAACAGATCTGGTCACAGTCGGTGGCGGGGGCCGGGCGTCCCCGAGCCAGGTCGCTTTCAGAGCCGCAGAAGCAGGCGTAACCAGCCTCCACACCCGCCAGCTGGGAGCAGACACCGAGTGACCCCGGCGGCAGGGGTCTCCGGGGAGGGGCGGGGTCGGAGGGGGTGGGCAGGGGGAAGCGGGCCACAGGTGCGGAAGTCAGTGTGTGGGTTTGGCCGTCGGAGTGCGGAGAGTGGGGCGCTGAGATGCAGTCGGGGGTCGCTGGCGTGGGGCCCCGCGGGCAGTACCTGGTAGCCCTTCATGCGGCAGAAGCGAAGGCACACCGGAACCGTGAGCTTCGTGGAGGTGCCGCTGGGCCCACTGAGGGCTGGGGGCGCCCCCGAGTCCACGAAGCAGCCCAGGTACCCGGGCACTGAGGGGGCAGCAGAGTCAGGCCCCGCCCTCCGAGGCCACACAAGGCGCTCCCACCTCCGTCCGCTCGAGTCCACTCACTGTGGCACGTGGGGATGTCGCAGTAGCGCCAGTAGATGCCCTCTTCCGTCTCGGCCACGTAGCACCACGGCTGGACGTCACCGTCCGGGTTCCTGTGGGTGGGAGGGAGGTGGACAGGGCGGAGCACGTCGGATGGAGGCCAGATTCCTCCGCCAGCGCCGGGTCTCCTCGTCTCCACCGGCTTCTGAACGCCGACCTCCGACGGCGGGGCCAGAAGTCACCGCAGAGCCCGGAGACTCGGGTGGTTTTTTTTTTTAAGGTTTCTGATTCTGCCCGTAAGAACTCGGCGCTGGGCCTGTTCGGCCGGCCCTGTCCTCCAAACCCCGCCGGAAGCGCAGACGGAGGGCCCTGAGCTGCTCAGGTCAGTAGAGAGGTGGCCTCCTGCTGGACCTGCGCGCTCCGGGCTCAGGCTGACGGCAGCCCGCGCGCACGGACCCGCCGAGGCCCGGCTCTTCTCTCCTAGCTCCGGTCTGAGGCTCTGCCTTAGTCGGGCACCTTAGTCTTGGCACCTGTAGTGCCAGGGGCTCTGCGCTCCTCCTGACATCCCAGTGCCAACGAGGCCCGCATCCTGAAGTCCCCCAGGCGGACCCCGCGCTGGCGCGCGCGCAGCCCTCCGCCCCGCCCACCATGCAGGCCACACCCACCACGCGGTCCACCCAGCACATGCCCCCCACCGCACGGCCACACCCACCAAGGCCGCCCCGCCCACCGCAGGCCACACCCACCGCACGGCCCCGCCCCTCACCGGCAGAAGTTGTGCGCGCCCAGCCCCCAGCGGCCCTGGGGGTCGCTGGCGCTGCTGTAGCTGTGCTGCTGCGTCTGGTCCCAGAAGAGGCACGGGCGCCCGGCCCCGCGCGGGCCCGTGTGGTTCTGGTGGCCTCGGTAGTCGGCGCCATTCACCTGGAAGCACTCGGACAGGCCTGCCGATCGCCGCAGGACCGGGGCGGGGCGGGTCTGTACCTCACAGGGTCTCCTCCCTCCGACCCCTGGGCGCCAACTCCCGACCCGGGCACCTGCCCGCGCCCCGCCGCCTCCCCAGCCTCGAACCCTGGCCCTGGCCGCGGCCCGACTCACCTGGGCTGTGCAGGCGGCCCGCGGAGGCCCCGCGCGGAGGCAGCAGCGGGAGGAGGAGGAGGAGGAGGCCCCGCAGAGCCCGGGCCCCCATCGCCCCCGGCCGGGAGCGGCCGCTCGGGGTCTGTCCCCCTCCGGCCCCTCCTTGGGTCCCGTCTCGCTCCGGGTGGCACCGCCCCCCGCCCGTCTAACTATCTCCTGGGGAGGGTCTTCACCGCCCAGGGTCGGCGGCCCCTGGGGTGTCTCCCCTCTGACCCCCGGGGCCGGGCGACCTCCGTCCCCGCTGCGCTGCCCGCGGGGCCGCGGCCTCCGCACGCACTCCGTCCCGCGGCGCCTCGCACCCTGCCGCTCCCGCGCCCGGGTCTCCACTGCGCCGCGCCGCCCCCCGCGCCCCCCCGCGGGTCCCCCCGCCCCGCCCCGGGCACGCGCGCCCCGCCCGGCGCCCCAGCGCGGGCTGCAGGTCCAGACGCCTCCCACGCCCGCCACCCCCGCGGGGACCCCGCGCCGTCCCGCCCCGCTCCCGGGGAGCGGCAGACCGGGGACCCCTCGGGAGGCCACGGGGGGGCGCCCAGGGCACCAGCACGCCCCCTGCCCGTGCAAGCGCGCGCGCTCCCCCCCCCGGCCGCGCG